ACGGGGGAGCATCCCTCGCCCCACCCGCCCCTGGTGTCTCTGCTGTGACACTGGTTGTGCCCGCCCCCCCCCCCCCAGTCCCTGGTTCTCAATCAGGTCCTCCGTCCCCTCCGACCTCCCCGTGACCCTGAGGTTGACCCTGTGGCTTTGCCCTGACCTTGGCGTTGCCGTGCCCATCCGGCCTCCTCCCCCCCCCTCCCCCCGCAGTTCCGCTCGCTGTCCATGGTGTCCGAGTGCCTCTTCTCGCTCATCAACGGGGACGACATGTTCGTGACGTTCGCGGCCATGCAGGCGCAGCAAGGCCGCAGCGGCCTCGTGTGGCTCTTCTCCCAGCTCTACCTTTACTCCTTCATCAGCCTCTTCATCTACATGGTGCTCAGCCTCTTCATCGCGCTCATCACGGGCGCCTACGACACCATCAAGGTCAGCAGGCGCCCGCGGTGTGGGCCGGGGAGACCTGGGGGGGGGGGAGGGGGGCGCGCTGCCCTGGCCCAGCGCAGGGAGGGAGGGGCGAGGCGGAGGGCACGTGGGGATGGACACTGGGCGTGAGGTGGGGGCGACACAGGGGACGGGAGGACGCCAGCGGTGAGATCAGGGGGCATGAGGGATGGACAGACGCCAGGGGTGAGATCAGGGGGGCATGAGGGATGGACAGATGCCAGCGGTGAGATCAGGGGGGCACGAGGGATGGACAGACGCCAGGGGTGAGATCAGGGGGGCATGAGGGATGGACAGATGCCAGGGGTGAGGTGGGGGCACGAGGGATGGACTGACGCCAGGGGTGAGGTGGGGACACGTGGGGACGGACTGATGCCAGGGGTGAGGGGGGGCCGTAGGATGGACTGACGCCAGGGGTGAGGTGGGGACACGTGGGGACGGACTGATGCCAGGGGTGAGGTGGGGGGCACGTAGGATGGACTGACGCCAGGGGTGAGGTGGGGGCACGTAGGGTGGACAGACACCAGGGGTGAGGTGGGGGGACGTGGGGACGGACTGACGCCAGGGGTGAGGTGGGGGGCACGTAGGATGGACAGACACCAGGGGTGAGGTGGGGGGCACGTAGGATGGACAGACACCAGGGGTGAGGTTCGGGGAGGGGACACGTTGGGACGGACACCGTCCACTGCGGCTGGGCAGGTTCCCGAGTTCAAGGTTAACAGCTGCGCCCAGGGAGGGAAGCTGGCCTCCCCAGTAGGGCTCACTTGGTGCTGCCCATGGAGCATGCTCAGCCTCTCTCTCACCGTTCTGGGCCGTGTCCCTGAGCAAGATGGGTGCATACGTGGATCTGTAATGTAACATAGATTTTTAAAGATTTATTGGCAAGGTCGAGTTACAGAAAGAGTCGGAGGGGAGCGAGATGTTCCATCAGTTGGTTCTCTCCCCACGTGACCGCAGCAGCAGCCAGGGAGGGGGTCAGGCTGAAGCCAGGATCCAGAACCTTCCTCCAGGTCTCCCACGCAGGTGCAGGGTCCCAAGGCTTTGGGCCGTCCTCCACTGCTTTCCCAGGCCACAGGCAGGGAGCTGGATGGGAAGCGGGGCTGCCGGGCGTATCTGAATTGTGACTTTGGCTGAAATCCCATTGTGAATTCGGTTCCATCTCTCTCCAATGCCTCCCAGCCCATGGCGGCCAGGGGCAAAGCCAGCTACAGGCCAGCTGTCAGATGTCGCCGTCACCGCTGACAGCTCTGGGCTGAAGGGACAGTAGCAGCTCACAAGAGCCGCCGGAATGGGGACAGGGTGGGGACAGCCCAGACAAGGGCCAGGAAGTGGAAGGGACGTGGGAAGGGCCTGCCCACGGTCACCTGCGGGTGCCTGCCTGCTGTGTTCTCGTGCGTGGGCCTCGTGCAAAGAGACACCTGCTTGATCCTCTGCCCCCCTCGCCCCCCGGAACCACCCTTGACCTTGCCGCGACACCTGTGGCCACCACAAGTGTACGGGGTCCGGCTGTGTGCTGTGGTCAGGCGCCTCTCGGGCTGTGTGCAGCCGGGCTGAGGGCACCCACCAGGGGGGCCCACAGCCCCCAAACAGCCACAAGTGTCCGTCACAGCTCGTGCTTAGGACCCCCGGGGTGGCGGGGGGTAGCAGGTGGGAGGCTGCCCCCCGGGGTGAGGAGGGGCAGGTGCCAGCCATGTTCTCCCCGCCCGCTCCCCCCCGCCTTGTCCCGCCAGCACCCAGGAGCCGGCGCTGAGAAGAGCGAGCTACAGACCTACATTGCACAGTGCCAGGACAGCCCCACGTCGGGCAAGTTCCGCCGGGGCAGTGGCTCGGCCTGCAGCCTCCTCTGCTGCTGCCGGGACAGTGGGCTGCAGGAGGGTGCAGGCTGCAGCCCTCCTCTGCTGCTGCCGGTGAGTGCAGGGTGCCCTCTGACCTGGCTGCAGGAGGGTGCAGGCTGCAGGGTGCCCTCTGACCTGGCCGCAGGGTGCTCTCTGGCCTGGCAGCAGGAGGGTGCAGGCTGCAGGGTGCCCTCTGACCTGGCTGCAGGAGGGTGCAGGGTGCCCTCTGACCTGGCTGCAGGAGGGTGCAGGCTGCAGGGTGCCCTCTGACCTGGCTGCAGGGTGCCCTCTGGCCTCGCCGCAGGAGGCTGCAGGAGGGCCGGGGTGCAAGGAGCTGACGGCTTTCCTCCCACGCCCTCGTCCCGCAGGGACCCCTCGGAGGAGCATTCGCTGCTGGTGAACTGACCACGAGACCGCGACTGCCACTGGATCTTAAGCCTGACCCCTGCCCGGGACTGCAGTGGGGGGTGTTGGGGGGGCGGGAGAGGACCCCTCCCCACCCGCCGCTTATTTATTTACAGGATTTGCTTCTAAGGATCCGCTGCCTGCCTTGCCCTGTGAGGGCCTGGGCAGGTCGGATTGGACACTGGGGGAGGGATGGGAATTAAAATAAACAGGAAAAAGAAACCGGCTTCTCCTTTCTAGCAGGCCTGGCAGCCTGGCTGCCACCGGTCCGCGCGGCCCCTTTAAGACGCCGGCCACGCTCTGCAAAGGGCACTGCAGCGGCCGACCTTCCCAGCATGGCGGGTGTGGGCGGGGCCGACCTTCCCAGCATGGCGGGGTGGGCGGGGCCTGCCTTCCTAGAGTGGAGGGGTGGGCGGGGCCGGCCTTCCCAACATGGCGGGGTGGGCGGGGCCGGCCGGCCTAGATGGCGGGTGGGCGGGGCCGCGGCCTGCCGCACCGCGAGCCACTTAAAGGGGCCGCGGGGCGGTGTCGGTGCAGGGTGGACCGCGGTGCAGGGTGGACCCCGGCGGTGGCGGCCCCTGGGTGAGTCCGGGTTCCCCCTCGAGCAGCGGCTTGCCCGGCGTCTGTCCCCTGCCCGTTCCCCGTGGCTCCCAGCGAGCCGCCCCACACCTCCAGCCCCTTGCCCCCGGCGGGTGCGCCTTGGGGAGGTTGCATGGTGGTAGACCTGCAGAGGTTCGTCCCGGGGGGACCTCGTGCGCCGGCCGGTGACCCAGGACCCCAGGGCTGTGCACCCCCGACCCTGCGTCCCTGGCGATGCCGCCCCGCGCCCCCCGGGGATGCGCAGCCCGTTATCCCAGTTATCCCCGTCCCCCGCGCGCACCGCCTGTCGGGAAGCCCCAACCTCCTGGGTCGGGCCAGCCTGCAGACCTGGGGTTCTCCCTGAGGTGTGGCAGGCGAGAAGCAGGGAGCCCCCCAGCCCCGCACGCGCACCCCAGCCCCGCACCCCCAGCCCCGCACGCGGCACCCCGCCAGCTAGCGCCCGGGGCAGGTGCAGGGCCGAGCCGGGTCCGCCATCTGCTCGCTTTCTCCCCGCTCTGCAAGGTCACTCAGGATGGCGGGGACGCCGGACCTGCCGCCCGGCCCCGGAGCGGCCCCCACGGAAGCCCCGCTGCAAACCGGGACGGTAAGGGTGCGTGCAGCGGCAGGTGCACGGGGGCGGGCCGCCGCGCGGACTACAACTCCCGGCGTGCCCAGCGCGCGCGTCGCGGCGGAACTACGCTCCCCGGCGTGCGCCGAGTGTCGGGGCAGCGCCGCCGGCCCCCCGGGTGACGGCGGGAGGACGGAAGGCCGCGTCGCCGCCGTCCCATTCTGCAGATGGGGACGCCGAGTCCCGGCGCCGACGCCGCCTCCCCGGGGCTGGAGGCGGACGGCTGGGCCGGGAGCCTGGAGGAGGGCCCCGCGGCGCGGATGTGCGGGGCGCAGCCGGTGCCGTTCGTCCCGCAGGTGCTGGGCGTCATGATCGGGGCCGCGGTGGCCGTGCTGGTCACGGCTGTGCTCATCCTGCTGCTGGTGCGGCGGCTGCGAGTGCGGAGTGAGGAGCCCGGGGTGCCTCCCGGGGGGCGGGCCGGGGTGCACTGGGTGCCCGGGACAGACTCTCACCTCCCCAACCCTCCCCCTGCGGTGCCCGGGACGGACCCCCAGCTCCCCACCGTCCCCCAACCCTCCCCCTGGGGTGCACTGGGTGCCCGGGACGGACCCCCAGCTCCCCACCGTCCCCAAACCCTCCCCCTGCGGTGCCCGGGACGGACCCCCAGCTCCCCACCGTCCCCCAACCCTCTCCCTGCGATGCCTGGGGTGCCCAGGATGGACTCCCACCTCCCCACCGTCCACCAACCCTCCCCCTGCGGTGCCCGGGGTGCACTGGGTGCCCAGGACGGACCCCCACCTCCCCACCGTCCCCAACCCTCCCCCTGTGGTGCCCGGGGTGCACTGGGTACCCGGGACGGACCCCCACCTCCCCACCGTCCCCAACCCTCCCCCTGCGGTGCCCGGGGTGCACTGGGTACCCGGGACGGACCCCCACCTCCCCACCCCTCCCCCTGCGGTGCCCAGGGTGCACTGGGTGCCCGGGACGGCCCTCCACCTGTGTTTCCAACCCTCCCCCAGAAATCCCACACACAGGGCCCCCCCCCCCCCCGCTATCAATTCCAGAAAGGGAGCCTAGGGTGGGAGACAAGCCTAAGCTGGGGTGCATTGGGGTGCCCAGGACTGACACCTCCACCTACGTCTCCAACCCTTTCCCAGAAACCCCAGCCCCCGAGGCCCCCCATTATTGGTTCTGGAAGGAGTGCCTCTCCTGGGGCCCAGGCTGAGGTGGGCTGGGGTGCCCAGGAATGACCCTTCACCTGTGTCCCCAACCCTCCCCCAGAAACCCCAGCCCCTGAGGCCCCCCGCTATCGGTTCCGGAAGCGGGACAAAGTACTCTTCTATGGCCGGAAGATTATGCGAAAGGTGAAGCCGGGCTCCCTGCCCAGGGAGGGGGCGGGGGGCGAGCTGACCACCACCCACAGTCCTGAGTTGCCCAGCATCCCCCCCCACCAGAGGGACCCCGTGCCCCTTTTCCGTCCCCCCCCCGGCCCCTCTGGCATCCCAGCAGGTTCTTGACCTCTGACCCATCTCCCCGACCTAGGTGTCCCAGTCCACTTCCTCTTTGGTGGATGTTTCTGTCTCCACCACTTCCCGGCCACGCATGAAAAAAAAACTCAAGATGCTCAACATTGCCAAGAAGTAAGCTTGGCGCCCGGGGACGTGTGTGTGTGTGTGTGTGTGTGTGTGTGTGTGTGTGTGTGTGTGTGTGTGTGTGTGTGCATGGTAAGCTTAGCCCCCCGGGGTGTGTGTGTGTGTGTGTAGGGCGTGGGGCGTGGCTTGCAGGAAGTCTGGCTTGCGGATGTGCAGGGGCGGGCTGGCACTGACCATGCCGTCCCCCCGAGGGCCGTGTGAGCCAAGTTCCTCCGCGGTAAGCTGGGAGCTGGTTATCTCTCACTGCAAGAGAGGGTTCATTCCAGGTCCCCTGCCCGCCTCCCCGAGTTCTCAGAATTGTTCTAACTGGTCCAGGGGGTGGCCGCTGGCTTCCGTCAAGCGGGTCACCTTGATTCTGTACGTTGGGTGCCGTACACACGGGGTAGGCCCCTCTGTGTCACCAGTGACTGGGCTCCCTGTTACCTGAGGGGGACGGCCCCCCATCCCCTCACCCCGGTTTCCCCAAGTTCCCCATGCTTGGCCAAGGTTCCCCCCCCATTGAAGTCCCAGGGGATGGCAAAATGGGGTGTCTTGCCTTGAAGACGCAGCCCATTGTCCTCACAGCTGTGGATACCGCCCTCCCCGTCAGGGTTCTGCAGGCTTGGGGCGGAAGGGGCTAGCCCACACACTTCCTGCTTTGCTGGATTTCTCTGTCTCACCCACTAGAGAGAGAGGGTCTCCGGCTCCCCGGGGGGGAGGCTCTCCCAGCAGCCACTCACTGAGCTTTGTAGGGGAGGTGTCTCGGTCCACACGTGACGGGGTCCGTCTGGGGATCCTCGGTGGCCGTCCCGGGGGCTGTCTCCGTGTCAGCCCAGAGGCAGGCCCGTGCTAGGGCTATCCCAGGAATGTCGCCCGTGATTGCTTGCAGAGTCCACACATATAGTGATGCTATGTGTCTGGCCTGCCTGCACCCTAGAAGCCACCGTTCTTTAGTTCTTGTTTTTTTTTTTTTTTTTTTTTAAGATTTATTTGTTCATTTGAAAGGCAGAGCTAACAGAGAGAGAGAGAGAGAGAGAGAGAGAGAGAGAGAGAGCTCTTCCATTTGCTGGTTCCCTCTCCAGATGGCTCTAACAGCCGGGGCTTGGCAAGCAGAAGCCAGGAGCCAGGAACTCGGGGTCTCTCTCGTGTCGGGGTGCAGGGGCCCAGGCACTGGGGCCACGATCCTCAGTTAGCTGAATGGGAAGTGGAGCAGCCGGGACACGAACCCACGCCTGTAGGGGATATGGTGGTTTTGCAACCCGTGACTTAAGGCACTCTATCCCAGCACCGCCCCCTTCCCGAAGCTGTTGTTCTAGAAGGCTCTAGAACATCCTCATGGCTGCAGAGTCAGCCCCAGGCCTTGCCGTGTCCCACTCTGCCGTCGGAGCCCAAGGGCGCCCACTGGAGATGTGCAGAAGGATGGATCCGGCTCTGGGAGCCATCAAAACTCGCTTGTTAAAAGCAGGTGGCAGACCTGACCTGGCCTGAGGGCCAGGGTGGGCTTGTCTTCTGTGGACCAGAGTGGGGGGAACGGGGGGGGGGCCAACAACCTCCCAACCCTCCTGCGCCCCCTCCCCGCCAGGATCTTACGCATCCAGAAGGAAATGCCCACGCTGCAACGCAAGGAGCCCCCTCCCTCGGTGCTGGAGGCCGACCTGACCGAGGGGGACCTGGCTAACTCCCACCTGCCCTCCGAGGTGCTCTACATGCTCAAGAATGTCCGGTCAGTGGCGAGGGGAGAGTGAGGGGCGAGGTGGCGGGGCGGGGGGGGGGTGGGTGGGCTGCAGGGCACAGCCGGGGATCCCACCCTGACCGCCTCCTGCCTCCCTACCTCACCACCTGCCCATCAGGGTGCTGGGCCACTTCGAGAAACCGCTCTTCCTGGAGCTGTGCCGACACATGGTGTTCCAGCGGCTGAGCCAGGGGGACTACGTCCTCCGGCCGGGCCAGCCAGATGCCAGCATCTACGTGGTGCAAGATGGGCTCCTGGAACTCTGCCTGCCTGGCCCTGTGAGTGGGGGTAGGGCTGAGGGAAAGGAGGAGGGGCCAGGGGCGTGGCCTGCACGGGAGGAGGAGTCAGGGGCGTGGCCTGCACAGGAGGGGGTCAGGGGTGTGACCTGCATAGGAGGAGGGGTCAGGGGCGTGGCCCACATAGGGGGAGGAGTCAAGGGTATGACTTGCATAGGAGGAGGAGTCAGGGATGTGGCCTGCATAGGAGGAGGGGTCAGGGGTGTGGCCTGCACGGGAGGAGGAGTCAGGGGTGTGGCCTGCACAGGAGGAGGGGTCGGGGGTGTGGCCTGCATAGGAGGAGGAGTCGGGTATGGCCTGCATAGGAGGAGGGGTCAGGGGCGTGGCCCACATGGGGGAGGAGTCAAGGGTATGACTTGCATAGGAGGAGGAGTCAGGGGCATGGCCGGCATAGGAGGAGGGGCCAGGGGTGTGGC